AGGTTACAGCTATTGATTTTGGCTGTATACCTGCTGATCGGCTGTGGCCAATCGCAGCACAGAGTTCTGTGTTTACAAACACACAATCTGGCTGTTTCTTCTCTCTGATATCAACTCTGAGTTCAGGGAGAAAAGTAATGTGTGCTGCTTTCACAGATCTGCAAGTGAAAGCAGCACACATTACACTCGCATACAATTGTTAGGCACACAGTTAACCCCTTGATTTCCTTCCTGATCACTCTTGTCACCCAACCACTGTCATTAGTACGGTACACAGTATTATCATTGATCGCTGAATGAGTGTCACTAGCGACATCAGTGTCAGTCACATAGTATCCCTCCTAACCAGTGTCAGTTAGCACCAATCACAGTATCACAATCGCACTATACAGTCAGGTCCATAAATATTGGGACATCGACACAATTCTAACATTTTTGGCTCTATACACCACCACAATGGATTTAAAATGAAACGAACAAGATGTGCTTTAACTGCAGACTGTCAGCTTTAATTTGAGGGTATTTATATCCAAATCAGGTGAACGGTGTAGGAATTATAACAGTTTGCATATGTGCCTCCCACTTGTTAAGGGACCAAAAGTAATGGGACAGAATAATAATCATAAATCAAACTTTCACTTTTTAATACTTGGTTGCAAATCCTTTGCAGTCAATTGCAGCCTGAACTCTGGAACACATAGACATCACCAGACGCTGGGTTTCATCCCTGGTGATGCTCTGCCAGGCCTCTACTGCAACTGTCTTCAGTTCCTGCTTGTTCTTGGGGCATTTTCCCTTCAGTTTTGTCTTCAGCAAGTGAAATGCATGCTCAGTCGATTCAGGTCAGGTGATTGACTTGGCCATTGCATAACATTCCACTTCTTTCCCTTAAAAAACTCTTTGGTTGCTTTTGCAGTCTGCTTTGGGTCATTGTCCATCTGCACTGTGAAGCGGCGTCCAATGAGTTCTGAAGCATTTGGCTGAATATGAGCAGATAATATTGCCCGAAACACTTCAGAATTCATCCGGCTGCTTTTGTCAGCAGTCACATCATCAATAAATACAAGACAACCAGTTCCATTGGCAGCCATACATGCCCACGCCATGACACTACCACCACCATGCTTCACTGATGAGGTGGTATGCTTAGGATCATGAGCAGTTCCTTTCCTTCTCCATACTCTTCTCTTCCCATCACTCTGGTACAAGTTGATCTTGGTCTCATCTGTCCATAGGATGTTGTTCCAGAACTGTGAAGGCTTTTTTAGATGTCGTTGTGCAAACTCTAATCTGGCCTTCCTGTTTTTGAGGCTCACCAATGGTTTCCATCTTGTGGTGAACCCTCTGTATTCACTCTGGTGAAGTCTTCTCTTGATTGTTGACTTTGACACACATACACCTACCTCCTGGAGAGTGTTCTTGATCTGGCCAACTGTTGTGAAGGGTGTTTTCTTCACCAGGGAAAGAATTCTTCGGTCATCCACCACAGTTGTTTTTCGTGGTCTTCCGAGTCTTTTGGTGTTGCTGAGCTCCCTGGTGCGTTCCTTCTTTTTAAGAATGTTCCAAACAGATGTTTTGGCCACGCCTAATGTTTTTGCTATCTCTCTGATGGGTTTGTTTTGTTTTTTCAGCCTAATGATGGCTTGCTTCACTGATAGTGACAGCTCTTTGGATCTCATCTTGAGAGTTGACAGCAACAGATTCTAAATGCAAATAGCACACTTGAAATGATCTCTGGACCTTTTATCTGCTCATTGTAATTGGGATAATGAGGGAATAACACACACCTGGCCATGGAACAGCTGAGAAGCCAACTGTCCCATTACTTTTGGTACCTTAACAAGTGGGAGGCACACATGCAAACTGTTGTAATTCCTACACCGTTCACCTGGTTTCGATGTAAATACCCTCAAATTAAAGCTGACAGTCTGCAGGTAAAGCACATCTTGTTCGTTTCATTTCAAATCCATTGTGGTGGTGTATAGAGCCAAAAATGTTACAATTGTGTCGATGTCCCAATATTTATGGACCTGACTGTAAGTCGCTGATTACTAGTATAGCATCTATAGCTGCATACATTCCAGTATACTGTGTATTTATATATATTACGGCTATAATGCTATAACTTTCACACAAACCAATTAATATAATATACACTTTTTGTTATTTTTCCACCAAAGACATGTAGCATGTTGGCCCACATTTATGAAGAAATTTGATTTTATTGGAAAATAAAAGAAAAAAAAAAAAAAAAAGAAAATATATTTTTTTTCTACATTTTCGGTGTTTTTTCATTTATATAATAACAGGTAAAATACTCAGCGGTGATCAAATACCATCAAAAGAAAGCTCTATTTGTGTGAAACAAATAATAAAAATTTCATTTGTACAGTGTTGCATGACCGTGCAATTACCAGATAAATTAGCAAAGTGCTGAATAGCAAAAAATGCCCTGGCCATGAAGGGGGTAAAACCTTCCAAGTGTTTAAAAAATCAGTTATGGAAAGGAAAATTACTGCAAGTAAGCATTTTAAATACTTTTTCTGTGCATTTACCTGCATGTTTTATGTTGTTGACAAGATCTCATTAAATTGCATCTCTATCCAAAATGTGTAATTCATATGTAGAGTAGGAGAGGGTCAGAATACTGCCACTACTACAATACTACTGGGCTCCCAATGCAGAGATTCACCCTCTCTACCAATTGTGTGATGAGAAATTTGCAGTTGTCACTGCAACAGAAGAGGGTGAATCTTCCAATGTTCCAATCGCTTCCTGGTGTGCCTCAGAAACGGGAAGTGAAATGAAAATTTCCCTGATTGGCACAGACTGCATAAAAAACAAAAGAGTTTCTAACAATTTCCTACCTTTGCCAAAACTAAAAATGGCTGCCATTGCTGACCTTCTAATGAAAACATAAGGTGCCTGGTTATTTACAATATTTTTTGGTGTCACCGACATGAACCAAGTGAATGTGATGAGCCTTTACCCCTACCCTCCTCCTGAACATACTTGGCACATCTTTGGCAAAGCAACTGCAGTGCCCTCCTAGTTAGCTAGGGGGACCTAGAATTCAGATTGTCAGTGAGGAGGGCTGAGTAGGAGCCTGGGTGTGATAGTCAGGAGTTGTGGTCAGGGCTGAGAGACTCTGCAGGCCAGCCCCCCTGGAATTTCCCCCTCCTCTAGAGCTTTGGAGGAAGGTCTAGAGCAGGGGTGGGCAAACTTTTTGACTTGAGGGCCGCAATGGGTTCATATATTGGACCCGGGGGCCGGACCAAGAGTAAATGAATGATGTGTATGTGTCATCCATAGTAAGTATAGTAATATTCCCCCATAGTAAGCATAGTAATTAATCCCCCATATAGTAATTCATCCCCCATAGTTATTCATCCCCCATATAGTAATTCATCCCCCCTATAGTAATTCATCCCCCCCATAGTAATTCATCCCCCCTATAGTAATTCATCCCCCATATAGTAATTCATCCCCCATATAGTAATTCATCCTGCCATTTAGTAATTCATCCCCCATATAGTAATTCATCCCCCATAGTAATTCGTCCCCCATATAGTAATTCATCCCCCATATAGTAATTCATCCCCCCTATAGTAACTCATCCCCCATAGTAATTCATCCCCCCTATAGTAATTCATCCCCCATATTAAGTCCCCCCTGTGTCAATTCACTTACCTTTGCTCCGCGCGTTCCTCTCGCCGTGTTCCCTCGCCGCTCCGGTGTAACATGAAAATCTGTCTCCTATGAGGATCTGTCCCCCTCGACGTATCTGCGCATGTGCCAGTTTCAGGCATTAGCAGCCGATCGGCGATCTCCGGCACATGCGCAGATACGTCGAGGGGGACAGATCCTCATAGGAGACAGATTTTCATGCTACTCCGGTCTTCAGGGCGGACTGTGAGAGGAGCCTAGCGGGAGCCTAGCTCCGCGGGCCGGATTAAAAGGTCCGCCGGGCCGTATACGGCCCGCGGGCCGTAGTTTGCCCATTGCTGGTCTAGAGGCAGTGGGTGGATCTGAGTAGTGGCTAGCCTGTACTCTTGAGGGATCCTGGTCAATCCCCAACAGGAGGCTTGACAAGGGGCCAGGACAACCCTTAAAAGTAAGAGAGCCTGCTCAGCAGGAGGGCAGTTGGAGGGGAGAGGTGGAACAAAGAAAAAGATGTGAGTCTGGAAGCAGGAGCCTGTAAGGGGGCCCAGATGGAGAGGGGTTCACGTGCAGGTGGAGGATCTTGGAAGGTGGAAAGCTTGGACTTCAGCAGCTCCTGAGAGATGACCACCTGTGTGGCAAGGAAGGAGCCGCCCAGCTAGACAGCTAGAAGGCCTAGTAGAAGCCACTGACTCATCCGCAGCACAGGAGAGGGGCCAAGTGAGTAAACCTGCACCCCCTGGGCCCGTAAGGGAAAAGCAGCACTCCAGTGGGGAACTGGATTTGCTATCTTACCAGGACTGTTTCACTCTGTAGTGACGGGCAATGGGATTCACCCAATACAGCTGGATGAATGGATGGATGGATGAAGAGAGGAGTCATCTGTGGTCTGGGGTGGTACTACAGGAGATGCTTGCTAGCATTCTAGTAGAGGAACTGTGTTGTAAACACTTGTACATAGCTGCTAAGGAATTTGTTCTCAGTTGCCATTCCCATGGGCATCTTGTACACCCCTTATTCCATCCAAGTTTTAAATCCCCTAATAAAACTTTAAAACAAAGCTCAGGGGCTGGTTACTGTCTCCTGGTGCAAGTCTGAGTGGAGGAAATTCATGTTGCCTGGCTGTGTAGGACTATAGGGGGACCGATACTGTATATACTGTAAAGGAAAGATAAAGAGTTACAGGTCTTGTGTCTAGTGATATTATCTGCTTCCGCGCCGCCCCATAGCAGAAATACTTCTACAGGGTGACACATCTGTACAAAAGCATACATGTATAAATATATGTATGTGATTTTGCATTTCTGGGTTAGGGGGCACGTGCGCCCTACCCCCGCTGGACGTCAATCACTGGGTCCTGGCCAGTGATTCTCCTCCAGCACCCGGCTATCTCCGAGTGTCACCGACGGGGGAGAGACCTGTATGTAAACATCACAGTTCTCTTCTCTGTCAGCTCCTGCACACTGCTCTGTATGGCTCTGCATAGCAGAGCCATACAAAGCAGCATGCTTACAGTGTAAAGCGTACACAGCCCCCATAGTAAAACAGCACACAGTTAACCCTTTGATCACCCCATGTTAACCCCTTCCTGCCCAGTGCCATTAGTACAATGTCAGTGCTTTGTATTAGCACTGATCACTGTATTGGTGTCACTGGGGATGTCAGTGACAGTCAGTTCCCCCCCAGTGTCAGAATGCCTGCCGCAGTCTCGCTGCCACTACTAGTAAAAATAAAATTCTAGTATATATAGCGCCATTTGTAAATGCTATAACTTTTACATAAACCAACTAATTTACACGTATTGGGATTTTTGTTTGCAAAGACATGTAGCAGAATACATTTTGGTCTAAATTTATGATGAAAATTGATTTTTAAAATTTTTTTACTGGACATGCTTAATAGCAAAAAGTCAAAAATATATTCTCCCATACCACCTTAGCCGACATCCATGACATGACCAGTGGTACCTGCAGGATGGTGAGGAGTGGTCACCCCCCTGCAAAGATTTTTTTATCTGTTATTTCTTGTGTTTTTAATCCTACAACATTAAATACAGCATTTACTACTGCACTTAGATTGGTGCCTCCTGTTTTCTTCTTTCTTGCCTTTGCAAACAGTATATGTAACAATCCTTGAGATCAATATAGAATATATTGATGACATTAGTTGTTGCTGATGAAACGCGTTGGGCGGGACTATCTTGATACGTCACTTCCGGTTTAGTGGAGCGCAAACCGGCATTCTATTGGTATTTTATGCAGATTTGTTATGCTGAAAAGTTTTTTCATGTAAGTGCAACTTTTATCGTTTTTTCTTAATAAATGGGAATTACTACACCATAAGAGGTTCCTTTTTCCCTCTATGTGGGATTTTCATGCAGAGTTTCAAAAAGAAAGGATTGCTGTCGGGGATTTGGAGCCAACCAAATTTCCAGGTGTTTGATGAATTGGCCGAAGTATCTAGTCCAATTGGAATATCTTATGCGCATTTGACTTTCTTTGTAAAAAGGGGTCATTTTTATCTGGTGAGTGCGGTGTGATCCTATCTGAGAGAAGGAAGAGCACTTGTTCCCTGGGTGTTTGTCATTATTCTTCACAGGGTGGCTGCAGATTATAGACACAGAGCACCTTCTATGGACATTTGTTATATATTAAGTTATGTTTATTTAATAATTTGCACAATATTTTGCTCAACATTTTGCACTTTGTCTATGTGTAATCAGGCACCTATTGGTGTTAAGATTATTTATTTCATTTATTTTTGCAAATGTTCTATATTGATCTTAAGGATTGTTATATATACTGTTTGCACATAGTTTATGTGAAAGTAGGACATTTTTATATTTATTTATATTTATGACTTTTGGTCTATATATAGGCTGATTGACGTGCCACACTTTAGTCTGTTTGAGGTTATTTCAGTTTATTGCATTTATTTCATTTTTAGAGAGTGCGGTCTTTTTCTATTTAGTTAAATTCTACTAGTGTATACCCAGCTCCAGCCCGCGTTCACATTGATGCGGTGCAGAATTCGCACCAGTTTCTGTGTGATTTCCGCACCGCCTCATGATCGCACCCCGTTCATGCGAACCGCATATGTTAAGTTAGCGACACCCGAAATCGGTTCACAAAACGCGATGCAATGTGCAGAATCAGATCGCATGGTTGTGAATATCCATGCTATCTAATTCTGAACAAAAAAAGGGTCCTGCACTATTTTTAAAATATATATTTTTAAAATATATTCTTCAGATTTTTTTAACATATAAAAAAGTCATTTTAACATATATTTTTACATATATTTAAAAATACAAATCTACATTTTTGGAATGCATTTACAAAGACATACAGTATGTTTGAAATGTATTTTTAAAAATATTTTTCATATATTTTGTAATAAACACGCATTTCAACATGCAGTGTGTATATATATATATATATATATATATATATATATATATATATATTGATTATGGCCAAAATTGTAGTATTTCAAATATATGGCAATATATTTGGGAAGAATATTTTTAAAATATATTTCAAATATATTTTTCTTCCATATGGGCTGAGCCATTCAAAATGTATGCCTCAAATTGCATGGCAGAGAAATCCCATGTGATTTGCACAGTAATGTGGTGTGGTTCCTGTGCGAATCACATGCGATGTGTCGCACCGCATCAGTGTGAACCCAAGCTTAGGAAAAAATGAAGGGATCCCCTCCACTCATTGATAAAAGTTTTCAGACATACCTGTTCAACAGAAGTCGCTTTACAAAACCCTAGACACCCACACATGAATAAAATGTGACTGGTAACTGCTGAAACGGCTGAATTTTGATGCATCGTTGGCCAGCTTTAGGGGTTAACATCAGCAGGTTATTTTAAGAATTACAGTTAAGGATGACAGAGATGTTAAAGAATGAGAAAGATAAAGGTCTTTTGGCGACTTTTATTATCTGTGTATGAAACGCCTTCATAGCAATCAGATAGGAGGTCTGAGCGTCCAATATATCCACATCTGAGCAGGCAATATCAAATGATTACATTATTTGATACATTATCTGGTTACATACATGAAAACATTTTTCTCATGTCTGATCACTCTCCCGTTATGGTGAACAGATGTTCAGCGTAGGTGCAGTCTAATCAAGAACAGATATTTATGATCTGCACAATGAGCTTTCCTGTAATAGCTTGTTAGCTTTTGAAACATAACTCACAAATTTAGCTTTAGACAGAGTGACCTTCTGAACCTTTTACTGCTTAACAAGAATATATGTGTGTTTGCATATATTTTCATTAGTATGGTCAGGATTAAACAAGAAAATTTTAAAAATATTTTTACTTTTTCATGTTAGGTCATTTCCAGCCAGCAGGTGGACCCTTACAGCCTTTCCACTTGTTTACCATGCTAACCTTAGCTGCTTTGCTAGGAAGAAAACGTTTACATAGATCAATAACTTAAGCTTATTCCTGTTTAATTCAATTTCATTTTTCAGGCCGGTAGTGACGGTGAAAGTATTGGCAACTGTCCTTTTTCTCAGCGCCTGTTTATGATCCTGTGGCTGAAGGGCATCATTTTTAATGTCACCACTGTAGATCTGAAGAGGTAAGCAAGACTGCATTTGTCTGTGTAATGATACACAACTCACATTTTGTAGACCTAAATTGTCTCTAGATGCGATTTAAAATTGCAAAAAACAAATGTTGCTTCACTGTGAACCAGACAATAAAGAAAGACTGAGACACAGAGGGCATGGAGGAGAGGAACAGAAAAGGGAAGAGAGAGGGGGAGAGAATGAAAGGGGGGGGGGAGAATAGGTTGAAAGGATGGGGGAGAAAGAAGGAGAGAAGGAAAAGGAAAGAGGGTGGGGTGGGGAGAAAGGAAGAGAAGAAAAAAGAGCGAGGGGAAAGAGAAGGAGAAAAGAAAAGAAAGAGAGGAAGAGAAGGAAAGGTGGGGAGAGATAGAAAGAAGGAAAGGGAGAAAGGCAAGGGGAGGGGGAGAAAGAAAGTGGGGATACAGAGGGAGAGATGGGGGGGAGTGACAGAAGGAAAGGGAGAGAAAGGGTGGAGAGAGAGAGAGGAAAGATAGAGGAAGGATGGGGGAGAAAAGGGAGAGAGGGTGGAGATGAGAAGAAAAGAGGGAAGAAAAGAGGGGGGAAGAGAAGGTAAAGGGGAGGAAGGGGGAGTGAGGTGGAGGAGAGAAAGGAAAAAAAAAGGAAAGAGAAAAATGGGGAGGGAGAGAAAGAAATAAAAAAGGGAGTAAAAACAGGGAGAAAATAAGAGAGAGAGAAGAGAGGGGGAGAAAAGTAAAGAGAAAGGAGAGAGAGGAGGAGTAAGAGGCATATAATTAAAGCGGGTGAAGGAGAAGGAAGGGGGGGGGGGGTGAAAGGAGGAGAAAAGGAAAGGGGAGTGAGAGAGAAGGAAAGATGGATAAAGGAAAAGAGAAGGGGGGGGGGGGATAAATGAGAGAGAGGTGAGGTGAAGAAGGACAGAGGGAGAAATGTGGGGAGATAGAAGGAAAGATAGAAAGAGAGAGAGAGAAGAGGGGAGAGAGAGGGAGAGAAGGGAAGAATGGGAATGTGGATAAATGGGGAGAGAACAAAAGTAGAGATAGGGTGGCAGGGTAGAAGGAAAGGAGGGAGTAGAGAAGAAAAGAAAGAGATGGGGGAGGGAGAGAGGGAAAGAGAGAAAAGGGAAAAGAGAGGGAGAGACGGAAAGGGAGCACTGGTGGGGGAAGAGAAAGGAAGAGAAGGAAGGAGGGAAGAGGAAGAGAAAAAAGAGACAGAGATGGGGGGTGGAGAGAAGGAAAGAGAGGATAGAAAAGAGAGAGGGAGAAAAGGAAAAAGAGAGAGAGAGGGGAGAGAGGGAGAGAAGGAAAGGGAGAGGTAGAGAGAGTAAGAGGGTGAAGAGAAGGAGGAAGAAAAGTGGGGGGAAGAGAGAAAAAAGGAGGAGAGGACAGAAAAAATGAAAAAGAGATAAAAAGTGGAGAAAGGAAAGGGGGTGAGAGAGAGAGATGGAGAGAAAGAAGAGAGAGAGAGAGGAGGAGCGAGAGATGGAGAGAAGGGAAGAAAGAGAGAGTGGGTGGGGGAGAGAGGAAAAGAGATAAGGAAAAAGAATGGGGTGATGAAAAAATGAGAAAGGGAAATAGAGAGTGCGTGGAGGGGGGGTGAGAAAAAGAGAGGTAGAAACTGAAAGATAGAAAGGGAAGGGATAGAGGGGAAGAGAAAAAGGGTGTAAAGAGGGAGAAATGGAGAAGAGAATCAGATGGAAAGAGGGGATGGGACATTGCGATTATCTGCTGCAGCACATTATAACATAAATACAGCTCACGAAGACATATAACACCTACCTGAGAGGGGTCTGTAACTAAGAATGCCATTAATAATGCACAGTCATAATGTATAATATGTACATACTGTATGTCTGTTCCTTATGCAGGAAGCCAGCAGACTTACAAAACCTGGCTCCGGGAACAAACCCTCCTTTTATTACATTTGATGGGGAGGTGAAAACTGATGTCAACAAAATTGAGGAGTTTCTAGAAGAGAAGTTGACAGTGCCAAGGTAAATGCCAATCATTGAATTATTCCCTGTAATTATCTCTGGGATCTGCAGAAAGTGTGTGCTGACAGCAGTGTGTTTATGCCACCCTCCTGTCCAATGAGAGTGACTTTCAGGCAGTGGATATTGAAACAGAAATTGGCAAGGCTTAAGCTGGGTAAACATTATTAAAACTTTTGGTTGGTCTTGGGGGAGCCGGCCAAAATTGCCTATGTGGGGGAATCTCCAGCTTGACGTCCTTTGTTTGAAAAATTGAAGGATCTGGGTTTGCTGTGATTGTAGTCGTATTAGTGCACCTGCTACAAGAACATTCAGCCCATCTAGTAGGGGTGGTGAGGGTAGTGCAGGAAGGCCTAGTTAGTGTTGACAGTTATTACTAACGTTCATATAAAAGAACATCTGGGTAGCAGTGACCATAACATTTCATTTTGGCTGTAAACAACAAACACATACGGGAAAGATAAAAACACTCAATTTTAAGAGAGCAAATTTTCCAAGGATGAAGGCTGCTCTCCAAGACTTAGACTGGGAGGGAATATTGGCATCAATGAACACAAAACAGAAATGGGAATTCTTAAAAAAGACCGTATGTGAACACACTGCAAAATATGAGGGGCTTTCAAGTCAAACTGGGAATTTTTATTTTTATAGGTATAAAAAAGGGATTCTAGCATGGTGGTACTACATTTAGTAGTAAGTGTCAAGTGTGTCCTATTACTGATAAGTGGCGCACATGTCACAGGTCAGTCCAGAGACCATTAATCAAGATGGCAGACAGCAGTACTAGTGCGCACGTGGAACAGCATGTGGTGATGAAGTAAAACCCGAGGATATCCACAGATGACTTCAAGCACAGTACAGTGATGCAGTTGCAGTAAGACATTTGAATGGTATAAACATTTCAGATATGGTTGTATGTCCATCAGTGACAACCCCGGCCGTGGTGGTTCCCAGCTCACAGCATTCATTCCTGTGAACATGCAGCTCCTGGAACACCTGATACTGGATAATCGACACATAACCTGTTGTGCAAATAGACTCCTGAAAGAGTTCCTCTGAGAATTTCAGCACGAAGTGAAGCAGGCTGTCCTAGGATGGTTCAGGCGTACTGACAAATCTTTCTATGCCAAAGCTTTCCAGACATTAGTTAAATGCTGCGATAAGTATATAAACGTAGCAGGGGAGAATGCTGAAAAATAAATGCAGTGTCCACTCCTTGAAAAGTGTTCTTTTATTATATAAACTAAAAAGTCTTGGTTTGATTTGACCGTCTCGTATGTTTAAAATATACACTGTCTATAGTTTCGCTTTAAAGTGCATAGTTCATCTACAGTATATAATATATATAATGGGTTTTTTTTTCCCCATGAAGTGCACTGCAAGTACAGAAAAACTGTTGATATGACAGAAATATAGTGTGCTCCTAACTTCCTCTTTGACATGACAACACAATGTATTTTCAATTCTGAAATTCAAAGCACATGTTGTCAGCCTTGCATACTTACAAGAGCATAGACATCTCCTCCACCTTATCTGTATAACTCCTTGTATGAAGGCAGAGAGCACAGAAAGTTATCAACTTCCAAGATTTATGGCAAAATCAACAGGGATTTATTGCACTTATCGAACAGATATACCAAACACTTTTAATACCATATTTAACAGACCCAAACAAAGCAAAATAGAAGTTAATTGTTCGGGTTTACATACACTTTAAGAGTGATTGTACAGTATATATATATATATATGGATATATATATTTTGTTTTATTTGTTTTTAAAGGTATCCCAAACTTGCCCCAAAGCACCCAGAATCCAATTCAGCAGGAAATGACGTGTTTGCAAAGTTCTCTGCCTACATTAAAAACCCTAGGAAAGATTTAAATGAAAGTAAGTATGTATTTATACATATATAAGTATGCAAAAAAGAAAAATGGTTGTAGCTCATAATATGAAAAATTGATTATAGGGTATCTAAAAGCAAAAACTAAAATTAAATATATTGCAGCTTACTATGAGTGGTTCTAAAAATGTCTTATTCTATTCAAAACTGGAAAAAATGTCTTTAACCATAAAGGTGTCCGTTTATGACACAGAGAATAGCTGCGATTCAACGGATCTCAGCTATTCTCTGGTCATTCACAGTTTATGACACTCAGGAGATCATGTCAGCCCTTCACTGGAGATCTGTGTTCTCCCTCCAGATTCTCCAGCCCAGAGCTGGAGAATCAGAGGGACCGAAAACTAAGCAGAGATAATTTACCTCTGTTTAGTAAACTGATCTTTTACTGTAATCTCACGAGATTATAGTAAAATCAGCCATTTTCCAGAGTTTGGAGACTGTTCTCCCTTTGTTCGGAGAACTGCTTCATAAACTGCATTCACAGGAGAACTGTGTTCTCCGAGAATGCCGGAGAACTGAGCAGCGATCTATTACTGCTGGTTCATAAACGGACACCAAAGTTAGGGCAAAATAAATAAAAAACAAAAACAGTGCATCTCTGCAATACATGCACATTTCCTCTTTTATCCTTTTAAAGACCGTTCTAGATGCGTTTTTGAAGTGTTGCAGAGCAATTTCTGAAAGACAATCACTTTAAAGTACTGTAAACTACACCCCATTTTCCTATATACTGAAAAAAATTATAAAGTGTTCATCACTTTATTCTGTATGTTTTTTTCTTCTTTAGCACTAGAAAAAAGCTTACTGAGGTCCTTAAAGAAACTGGACGACTTTTTGAATTCACCTTTGCCTGATGAGATTGATGCCTACAGCACGGAGGAGGTCCTTGTCTCCAACAGGAAGTTTCTGGATGGGAAAGAGCTGACGCTAGCAGACTGCAACCTTCTACCAAAACTGCACATCATAAAGGTTTGTCTGATAAAGGCACTTTCCTGTATGGTTTGTCAGCTCTGGATCTACAGTGGATTCAGCTCCTGAGCCTAACCAAACCTAAGGGCTTACTCGAGTGCCTAATCAAACTCACAGCTCAGAGCAACTTCAGAAACATCAGCTCCATTGTGGCTTCAACAGATGAGCTCCAACTCTTGGCTTAAACAAGAGCCTAACCAAACCTAAGGGCTTGCTCCAGAGTCTAACCAAACCTGAGGGCTTGCTCCAGAGCCTAACCAAACCTACAGTTTAGAGCAGCTTCAGAAACACCAGGCCAAGCTCCAGTGCTTCTTCAATAGATGAGCTCCAACTCTTGTCTTGCTTAGAGCCTAACCAAACTTGAGGGCTTAGTCCAGTGCCTAACCAATCCTAAGGGCTTGCTCCAGAGCCTAACCAAACCTACAGTTTAGAGCAGCTTCAGAAACACCAGGCCAAGCTCCAGTGCTTCTTCAATAGATGAGCTCCAACTCTTGTCTTGCTTAGAGCCTAACCAAACCTGAGGGCTTAGTCCAGAGCCTAACCAATCTTAAGGGCTTGTTGCAGAACCTAACAACAGCTCCAGAAACCTAGCAGCTTCAGAAACCCCAGCTCCAGTGTGGCTCCAATGGATGAGCTCAGGCTCTTGGATTGTTCCAGAGCCTAACCAAACCCACAGTTTAGAACAGCTTCAGAAACCACAGCCCCAGCTCCAGTGTGGCACCAACCGATGAGCTCCAGCTTTTGGCTTGATCCAAAGTCTAACCAAGCCTGAAGGCTTGCTCCAGAGCCTAAGCAAACCCACAACTCAGATGTGCTTGAGAAACCCCAGCTTTTTCTCTAGAGTGGCTCCAACAGATGAGCTCCAGCTCTTGGCTTGCTTCAAAGCCTAACTAAACCTTCAGCTCAGGGCTTTTGACTGAGATTTTGCAACAACTGCAATGCAGCAACCAAGTGGTGGGGGAGCATTATAAAGATGAGCACAACTTGGCCAGGGGTTGTGGAGACTTTTCTATGTGTGAATTGGTTCCCAACATAGCCTCATTATAATAAAAAAAAAAACTGCAACCCTTTAGTTAACTTTTTTGCTGAGCCTCTGTCATCCTGTATAAAATTAATAACAATAAAAACGATTGATACGTGCAGACATTTAAATATTAGCTCCTGTGCATGGCCACTCCACCTCATCTGAACTCACCTCCTCAGATGCAAAAATACATTTTTGTGTTCTGCCTTAAGCTATACTGTCAGTCAACACGGTGCAGTTGATATGACTCTTGGTAAGTCCAACTGAAAGAAGTTCCTAGAACAGGTCCTGAGATCATTGGAGGAGTAGCTATATGGCCTTGGATTACCTTCGGAGCAGGCAGAGGACAATTTTCATCACTCAAATTTAAAAGCTATGTTAGCACATTACTCTTTAGATATTTGTTTCACTGACATTAAAATAATGTTAGCATTTTTACTATATATTGTATGTAAGAAGCCTACAACATGGATGAACTGACTCATCTCTTGACTGCTCCCTCTTTATTTTGTCTTCTTCTTAAAGGTGGTAGCCAAGAAATTCCGGAATTTCGACATCCCAGCAGAAATGACTGGAATCTGGAGATATCTGACGAATGCGTATGCCAGAGATGAGTTCAGCAACACATGTCCGGCAGATTACGAAATCGAATATGCATATTACGGTGTTGCCAAAAGAATGGGGTCATAGATAAACCTAGTTGGGTTCACTAGATCTTTTTTTTTTTCAGCTTTGGTTCAGATGGTTGTTTACCTCAGGTATAAAACAAAGAAGAAATGGGAGCCATATAAAGCCAAGCTTCATCCAAGCTTCTTATTTTGGGGGGTAAGGGGACTCTTGTGCTTCAAAATATACCTGTCTGCAGACTATTCTTCTGATGGTCCACCACTGTGAAGATCATCCAACACTCTCTTCCTCCCACAATTTCCACTGTCTATATCTTCGAACACACTGCAGCAGAAGGGGATGCCCTGAGGAAGAGGATGATGTAGGAACTTTTCAGATGGTCTTCACAAAGATGGCTTCAGAGCTAATTATAACATTATACTCAAGGTCCTCTAACCACCCTCCACCTTCAGCTAAATTATTTTTATGTGCAAAGTTCCCTTTTATGTAACAATTTCTTTGTGCATCTTTTGTTGGCTCGTTGCAGCTTTTCGCAGCCTGCAAGGCTGACCATTTTATATTTTTATTCTATATAATACTGAACACAAAGTTAAATGTTACAATTTAATTTGTCAGCTCAGGAGTTCCATTCTTCACCTCTGTTTCGTGGAGGAAGCACAAAAGCATTTTGGCCTTTTTATTCCTGATTAGAGCTGAGTCTGTACTTTCGAAACTATTACCTTGGTGATACCTCTGTCCCCCCCACTGATGAACTGTTTTGTTGCCATGCCTCAGAATAGCCACCTTTTTTTTATTGTGCAGTTTGCCCAAACCTTGCCAATAACAAATTACCTCACGGCAACCTTATGGTTAAAGCCTAAAATAAGTCACCCAGTAGATATGCAGTCAGACAGAAATTGTGTCTAAATGTGACCACATATTCCAGTAGACACCAGAGATTGGTCACACTGCCCACTGCTCTTCATAATCTAATAGACCTGGTCAGACACGCCCCCTTTCTTACCCTGCAGTGTGAGAGGAGACTTGTAGTTATGGGTGTGGCTGTTACTGAGCTCTGCCAGCACAGAGCACTGCACAGAAAGGCATGAAGCACTTTTCCACTTAGAGAGAAAGGTAACTGAAGGCATCTCCAGGCAAAAATGAGTTAAAATCATAATATATGGTGTGCCAGGATCATGAGAAAAAAGTGTCAGACCTCTATTGGGCTTGGATGTAAATTTGAGCTTCGGAAAGGGTAGCTGTTGGCTAAAGCAACTGGTCAAGTTCAAGGCTAGGTTCACACATATGCATCTCTGCTGGCATTTCAAGCAGGAAAAAGGTTCCCACACCATTTTAAAACTGTAGCATCTGGGAAATCTCATGGTGCAAAAGCACCATGCGATTTCCCAGTGGTTCCCACAAATGGTTTTTGATGCGTGGGGGGTGTCATTAAAAATGAATGGCAGTCTTGCTCATCTCTAAGGAGCAGCGTGTTTTTGCTGCAGGTGGTTTCGGGTGTGGGAACAGCTGCAGTTACCCCACCCGGAACCACCTGTAATAGTGTGAACCTTGCCTAATATTCATATTGGCCCTGAAATTTTAAATAGTTTTTATAAATTTCCTTCATTATGTTATTTTATGTAACTGACCTCTTGTGACCACCACACTGAAGAAAAGTCATTGTTAGATTTATGAATGAAATGTTTTTTCTATGGAAGTCTTCGGGTGGTTATACAATGAAATATTTCTGGATATCATTTGTGATGAGTGGGCCTTGTTCTTGGTGAGGACATATGGTCACACATAGACCACTACTAATCCAGGCAAACCCACACTGTGACTTGTTCTTCCATGGCTATGAGCCTATATTTTATACCATACAGAATGTATTGATAACCCATGTGCCAATCAGCATAACTGAGCCATAAACAGATTAACCCAGAATGATGTATTATCACGTAGAAACTCTATAGTAATGTGTTGTGACATTGTTGATATTTATTGCTCCCCAGGACCAAATCTGTCCCATAAACATGTACAGTATATTTCTATTACTCAGATTTATGTATATAAATGAATAGAAACTTGGCTAAACACTATAGTGGCCCATTATAATGTCAGAAAAATTAAGGTTCATACATCTCAAACAGTCAGACACCTGTAGTAGAATGTAAACAAAATAGGACTAATCTTTTTACTTAGACATGAAAATACTTAAGGGTCCATTTTTCAAAACATTTGTTTCACGAATGTCAGAAGCATTCCTGCAAGTTGAATGAAATGTCCTGTGTTTTTTCTAAGGGATTAATGCTTGTGTTATCGGCCCCATCTAGTGGCCAAAATGCAGAATAGTTTTCTTACTGAGAGTTTTCAAAGTGCTATACAGCATACTGGGCACTAGATGGAGCTGACGATACATGCATTAATCTCTACATTTCATTAAAGTGTTACTAAATCCTGGACCCTGCATTCACTATATCTGGTCTCCCCGGACCCTGCATTCACTATATCTGGTCTCCCCGGACCCTGCATTCACTATATCTGGTCTCCCCGGACCCTGCATTTACTATATCTGGTCTCCCAGGACCCTGCATTCACTATATCTGGTCTCCCCGGACCCTGCATTCACTATATCTGGTCTCCCAGGACCCTGCATTCACTATATCTGGTCTCCCCGGACCCTGCATTCACTATATCTGGTCTCCCCGGACCCTGCATTCACTATATCTGGTCTCCCCGGACCCTGCATTCACTATATCTGGTCTCCCAGGACCCTGCATTCACTATATCTGGTCTCCCAGGACCCTGCATTCACTATATCTGGTCTCCCCAGACCCTGCATTCACTATATCTGGTCTCCCCGGACCCTGCATTCACTATATCTGGTCTCCCCGGACCCTGCATTCACTATATCTGGTCTCCCAGGACCCTGCATTCACTATATCTGGTCTCCCAGGACCCTGCATTCACTATATCTGGTCTCCCCGGACCCTGCATTCACTATATCTGGTCTCCCCGGACCCTGCATTCACTATATCTGGTCTCCCAGGACCCTGCATTCACTATATCTGCTCTCCCACAGTACACACAACATGGAAATGCAATTATTTTAGTATATATATATAAACTGCTAAATACATTTTCTCATCAGCAGTACTTGTGACTGCTATCAGTGTTTGGCCGAGCACTGGTTAAAGCTTGTAGGAAGGGTTTTCATTCTCCCTTGATTGTCCTATGAGGCTGCATAACCCCTGACCCTCTGTCTGGACAGCGTTGATTGGCCCTGTGCTGATCACATGCACTCTCCCAAGAAAAAAAACCCTGTAGCAATACACACCAAACTGAGCATGTGCAACTTGCCCCCAAGGCTCTGTCCTATCAGCAGATGGATTGGAGATAGTAGAAGAAGGGGAGAATCAGAGAAAAGAGGATCAAACAGCCTTTTTACACAATGGTGAGGATTAGCCCCTTAGGTTTCACAGTGAGTATAGCAAGCCTGTTTTACTGCATATACAGACTGATTTTACTGTTGTGGGTTTAGTGACACTTTAACTTCGCACATTTCTGCAACAAATGTTTTTATTAAAAAAAAACCTTAATGGTTCAGTGATATTTCTTTCTACCTATTGAACTAAGCCCTAATTGTAAATCATCTTTGGCAAATAACAAATATATACTGGGCTGGGGTGCACTTCCCTACGCACCATCTGGCCAGTTGATGAATCTAAAATATATATCCTTTATTCAAATATATAAAGATGTATGCTCAGCTGTAATTAATGCCTGTTGGGGTGGAATGTACTGCACACAACAATAGAACTGGATATCATTGCAATTATTTACCTTACATCCAAATGGGTAATAACACCAGACCAGATCAAATACCATACCGGTGTAGATGAAGTGAGGGCCTGCAGAGAGGCACCGTAGTTTGATCAGAAGCCTATCAGCTTGAATATATAATCGCTGTTAAGGAAATGGAGTTGCCCCAAGGACAAAACTAATGAGATCGTACAATCTATCTGGCTGCAGATATGTAATACGGGGGGGTACACTCATCCACGGGCTTAATGTCAGCCTCCCATGGATAAGCCCCATACATCACCATATCCACCAAAAATACCTCACCGTCTTGAGGAATGCAAATGCTGCATTGTAAAACACAGTACAGACCAACAAAGGGGGGAGAGGAGTAAATACCATGTGCATTCAAAAAGTGCTCCCAAAGAAAGACCCATAAGATGCACTCCTATGAAACTTTGGGACATCCTTTGAAAGAACTGTTGTTCATAGCAACTGGTCAGCTCCAAACTTACACGTTCTAAACTGCTTGCTGGCTGCTAGAGAGCAACCTAGACAGTTCTTCTTTCAGATACCTTTCTGCATGAAGCTTATGATGCCAGGACATTGAATGCCCATATTACTTGCACAGAGAATAGTTCTTTGCTTGGGATTTGATTATTTTAACTTGAACTCCAGGGGGAAAACATGGGGAAGGGGACCCACTGCAAGGGTTAACGGCTTGTTCTGCCTAGGGGTTGATGACTAAGGTGATATGCTTACCTTATTCCATGCTCTCGCAGGCTTCTACCTCTTCATGAGATCAGTCCTGTCCAAGCTTCTTCCTTTCAGTTGCAGCTCTCTGACGTCATCTCGTACAATAAAACATGGGGATGGGGACCCACTGCAAGGGTTAACGGCTTGTTCTGCCTAGGGGTTGATGACTAAGGTGATATGCTTAGCTTATTCCATGCTCTCGCAGGCTTCCTCCTCTTCATGAGATCAGTCCTGTCCAAGCTTCTTCCTTTCAGTTGCAGCTCTCTGACGTCATCTCGTACAATAAAACATGGGGATGGGGACCCACTGCAAGGGTTAACGGCTTGTTCTGCCTAGGGGATGATGACTAAGGTGATATGCTTACCTTATTCCATGCTCTCGCAGGCTTCCTCCTCTTCATGAGATCAGTCCTGTCCAAGCTTCTTCCTTTCAGTTGCAGCTCTCTGACGTCATCTCGTACAATAAAACATGGGGATGGGGACCCACTGCAAGGGTTAACGGCTTGTTCTGCCTAGGGGATGATGACT